AAGGGCCGGGTGACGATCTCCAGGGACAACGGGCAGAGCTCGGTGACGCTGACCATGAACAGCCTCAGGGACGAGGATTCCGGATCCTATTTCTGTGCCAAACGTGCTGCTGCTTGGGGTGCTGCTGGTGGTGCTCATGATGAAGTCGCCCCTGATGGATCCCTGGCCCCACCTCAGCGTCCCCACCTGTCCCCAAACCCAGACCCTTCCCCAAACCTCAGCCCTTGACCCTTTGTCTCTTCTCTCCCATTTCCACCAACGCTGACCAAAACCCCAAAACCCGCCTGGTTCTGCCCCAAACCCAACTGGTTTGGTGCCAAAACTTGCCCAGTTTTTCCAGAAATCTCCACTTTGGGCTCCCAGTCGCTGCCGCTGGCACAAATCCCCCACCTTGACCCAAATCTGGGCTCAAACCCCGACCTTCAGAGCAAGGTTTGGGGAACAAAGTGGAGATTTGGGGTCAGGAGTTGTGGTTTGGGGTCAGCGGGTGAGAACTGGGGCCAGGACAGAGCAAGGCTGGGATCAATGGTCAAGAGCTGGGCCTGGGGCTGGGCTTTGGGGGAGGGGTCTGGGCTGGGGGGCAGGGGGCACTCGGAGAGGGGGGTGGCACCGTCACCAATACTAGCAGGACTAGCACCAGTGTTATAAGATTTGGCACAGAAATAGACGGCGGAATCCTCGTCCTTGAGGCTGTTCATGGTCAGCGTCACCGAGCTCTGCCCGTTGTCCCTGGAGATCGTCACCCGGCCCCTCAACGATGGCGCGTACCAGGTGCTGCCACCATCACTGGTGATACTTGCGACGAATTCCAGCGCCTGCCCGGGTCTCTGGCGGATCCACTGCATGCCAAAACTGCCAAAATCAAAGCCAGACCCTCGGCAGAGGAGGCGCAGGGACCCCTGGGGGGCTGGAGGTCCCCCCCGGACTCCAGCAGGGTCACGGCAGCCCGGAGCCCTGCGGGACAAAGGGGAGATGGGGATGGGCACAGCTCAAACATTGACCCAAATCCTGACCCCCGGCCCTGTCCCGATCCGCTCGCACCAGCGGGGCCCTGGTGGTTCCTTCACTGATCTCAGAGCGCCAAACCAACACGGAGGGGATTTCAGCATTGATCAAAACAAATGCAATTTTATTGAGCGCCCACAGAAGGATCAGAAAGGAGATAAAGGAGAGAGAGAGAGAGAGGGAGGGGAACGGAGCCGCCAACAGAGAGACAAAATCCGCGTGGTCCGGCCACGAGATCCAACTGGTCACATTGAGGGAAATCTCAAAGGTTTTGGTTAAATCAGGGATCTTTTATCGTGCTCTGCCGAGGGGGGAGCAGGCAAAGACAACGGAGAAGGATCAGCTGGAACCAGTGTGAAACCAGCACAAACCCAGCCCAGCAGCGGGCGGGGCCCGTGGCTGCAGGACTGGTTTCCGTGGGAAGCCGGTCTGGCTCCAGCGAACACACCTGCGGCCAGCCCGGCGCCGCCGTGCCGCGCTCACGGGGCTCTCAGCCCCGGCCCCTGCAGGGGCTTCAATCCCCGTCCCCGGCCGCGGCCGTGAGGCGGAGGAGGGATTTCCCGTGCGGGGATCACCGGGGTTACCCCAGAAATTCATCTGGCGGAGAAACGGGGAATCCCCGGGCTGCTGTGGGGAGCGGGGTCGGTGGAGCAGGTGTGAGGCCGTGGGGGCACAGCGAGCACACCTGGGCACGACCGCGGGGGGAGAATGCACCTGAACCCGGCCAGAGCGGCAGCCAGGGCCCGCAGGGTCTGGGGCTGTGTCCTTGGGAGGGCCGGGGGGGAAATGAGGGAAATTGGGAACGTCTCCTCCAGGTCAAGGCTTGAGCTGTTCCCATCCCCATCTCCCCTCTGTCCCGCAGGGCTCCGGGCGGCCGTGACCCTGCTGGAGTCCGGGGGGGACCTCCAGCCCCCCGGGGGGTCCCTGCGCCTCCTCTGCCGAGGCTCCGGGTTCAGGTTCGGGAGATATGGAATGTACTGGATTCACCAGAGACCCGGGCAGGGGCTGGAATTCGTTGCGGGGATCAGCCCCAATGGTGGCAGCACCCACTACGCGCCGTCGGTGCGGGGCCGGGTGACGATCTCCAGGGACAACGGGCAGAGCTCGGTGACGCTGACCATGAACAGCCTCAAGGACGAGGATTCCGGATCCTATTTCTGTGCCAAGCGTTTTGATGGTTATGCTGGCAACGCTGCTGCTGCTGTTTTTGGCGACAAGTCTGGCCCCACTCCCATGATGGTCACCCAATGTCTCCAATCCCAGCGATTCGTCCCCCAAATGCGAGCCCTTTTCCCCAATCTTGGCCATTTTCCCCTAAACTCCCTCCTTCCTGGCCCAACTCTTGATTTTTTCCCCCCAGTTTTGCCCATTTCTCCCAAATCTCGTCATTCCCCTCACCCTCGGGCCGTTTACCCAGAACCGCCCCCCAAATCTCAGCTTTTCACCCCAGATTTCCGCTCCCTTCTCTCGTGACCATGGGCCTGAAAATCCCTCAGGGGCAGCCCCAAATCTGCACCCCGGGCACCAAACCCCGCTGTGGGCACCGAATCCTGAGGGTTTGGCACAAATTTGGCACAGAAATAGGATCCGGAATCCTCGTCCTTGAGGCTGTTCATGGTCAGCGTCACCGAGCTCTGCCCGTTGTCCCTGGAGATCGTCACCCGGCCCTTCAATGAATCACCGTAGTAGGTGCCGCCACTGCTGTGGATACTTGCGAGCCACTCCAGCCCCTGCCCGGGCCTCTGGCGGACCCAGCCCATCCCAAAACTGCCAAAACTGAACCCGGACCCTCGGCAGAGGAGGCGCAGGGACCCCCCGGGGGGCTGGAGGTCCCCCCCGGACTCCAGCAGGGTCACGGCCGCCCGGAGCCCTGCGGGGAAAAGGGGAGATGGAGATGGGGGGATGGAAAGCTCAGGCACAGGCGTCCAATTCATTACTGAGTGCAGCGGGTCTAATTGCAGGGATTGGGATACTTTACGATACTGGGGAGACCTGTTGGAGATTTGGGGCAAGACAAAGGGAGTTTGGGGCAAAACCAGTGAAGGTTTGGGGATGAGGGAATGGCCGTGACCCTGCTGGAGTCCGGGGGGGACCTCCAGCCCCCCGGGGGGTCCCTGCGCCTCCTCTGCTGAGGGTCCGGGTTCAGTTTCGGGAGCTACGCCATGCAATGGATCCGCCAGAGACCCGGGCAGGCGCTGGAGTGGGTCGGGAGCATCAACACTGGTGGCGGCACCTGGTACGCGCCGTCGTTGAAGGGCCGGGTGACGATCTCCAGGGACAACGGGCAGAGCTCGGTGACGCTGACCATGAACAGCCTCAAGGACGAGGATTCCGGATCCTATTTCTGTGCCAAATCTTATAACACTGCTGCTGCTGCTAATGATGAGATGACGATGCCGGTGGCGGCCCCACTCCAGACGCAGTGCCCACAAACATCCTAAAGATCCCACAAGCTACCTCCAAATCTTTACCTTTGCCATCAACTCTTGACCATTTTCCCCCAAACTCCTCCATCATTGCCTCCACTATCTCATTTCTCTGGAGTTTTGACCATTTGACCCAAATCTCAAAGGTTCATCCCCAAAACTCTGCCTTTTGTGCCCCCGATCTCAGCGGGGTTCACTTGTGACCCTTGGCCCCAAACTCACCTGGTTCTGCCCCAAATCTCAGCTGCTGGCACCAATCCTCCGCTGTTGGCTCCAAGTCTCAACCAAGGTCCCCAAACCTTGGGGCAAATGGCCGAGATTTGGGGACAACGGGCCAGATTTGGGTCCGTGGGGGTCAACAATGGGGTCAAAGGTTACAGGGAAGGGACTGGGACATGGGGACAGGTGGGGACACGGGGATGGAAACGAGAACCAGCATGAGCCTCCCAGCCACCACCATCATAAGCGTTTTTGGCACAGAAATAGGATCCGGAATCCTCGTCCTTGAGGCTGTTCATGGTCAGCGTCACCGAGCTCTGCCCGTTGTCCCTGGAGATCGTCACCCGGCCCTTGAGCGATGGCGCGTACCTGGGGGTGGCACCATTGCCATTGATCCCTGCCACGTATTCCAGCCCCTGCCTGGGTCTCTGGCGATACCAGCCCATGTCAAAACTGCCAAAACTGAAGCCGGACCCTCGGCAGAGGAGGCGCAGGGACCCCCCGGGGGGCTGGAGGTCCCCCCCGGACTCCAGCAGGGTCACGGCCGCTCCCCCATTCCCAAACCTTCACTGGCCTTGCCACAAACTCCCCTGCTTTGGTAACAAATCTCCACCAGAGGTTTCCAGTATCATAAAATGCCTTAAACCCTACAATTAGCCCCGATCCACTCATTAATTAATTGCACACCTCCGCATGACCTTTCCATCCCCCCATCCCCATCTCCCCTTGTTCCCGCAGGGCTCCGGGCGGCCGTGACCCTGCTGGAGTCCGGGGGGGACCTCCAGCCCCCCGGGGGGTCCCTGCGCCTCCTCTGCCGAGGGTCTGGCTTTAATTTCGGGAGCTACAACATGTGCTGGGTCCGCCAGAGACCCGGGCAGGGGCTGGAGTGGCTCGCGGGGATCAGGTACGATGGTGGCAACACCTGGTACGCGCCGTCGTTGAAGGGCCGGGGGACGATCTCCAGGGACCACGGGCAGAGCTCGGAGACGCTGACCATG